TATATATATATATGTTCACACCAATATATATATATATATGTTCACACCAATATATATATATATATATATGTTCACACCAATATATGTATGTTCAAGAATAGGACTATAGAGTACCTTGAACGACCACCGTGTCGTTGCTGCTGCTGGAGCTGTGTGCTTTGGAGAGACTGGAAATCGTTCCAAAATAGCACGACGGAATCCCATGCACGAGCACGTGATTCGACTGGACGGGAATGGAATTGACTGCAGTGGCGGTGGCGTGCTGACGATTTTTCTCTACCCCAACACTTCCAGGTGACGACAGGATTTTCGTCATTGAGCCCTTGAGTTGTTTGCCACTGGAGGCGTCCACGCTGGCCTGTACAGTCGACTGTTTCATCTTTAAATACACTGCATGCATGCGCCGTAGCTGGTGATCTTGCGATTCGCGTACAGCTTCGGTTGTGGATTTCGAGTACACGACCACTTCGCCCACGGTGAGGACCGTGTACTCTACATGCAAAAACAACCCATCCAAAAAGGTCAAGTTTTCAGCATATAGATATATGTATATATATAATACATGATTGCCCGTCGAAAACAAAAACGAATATGATTGTTGTGTGATTTTTAATTTTTTAAAACTGGAGCGACATGGAGAAGGAATCATCGACACAATATATGTATGGACAGAAGAATCGGCAATAGAACGGAGCCAATCAAGTAGATTCCAGGAAACCACCAAGTTAGAGTGTGGCGCTTTCATTAGTGTAATTGACATCACCACAGGACAATTGTTTACAAAATTTTCAATTCTTTCCATACAAAATTCAGTACATTCACTCGATCGATAGCATTTGGCGAATCGGCCCAAACGTCCAAGTTTTGAGTAAAACGACAATAACAACACTCCTTTTTCTACAAAGTTCGTTGTCTGGCCATACAAGTTGCCAGTAAATACACACATTCACACAAATCGCAACAGACAAACGTTGTTGACAATAATTCACACGCAAACGAAAACCAATCTAGCCAATCAGCGACAAGGAATTTCAGATTGACCCACGCGATTCGATTGAACCGGGTGCAGATAAAAAATTTAGTACCCAAGCATAAATAAATAAATATATATATAAATATCGACAAACCCACCTTGATCCAGGACTAGGTCATCGTATAACACAGTCACGGAGCGATGGAGCATGGAAGAAGCAGAAGGCTTTGCGGTGGTATCAGCATGATCATGCAGCGCAGATTTGGACGATTTGGACGGCAGCGCAAGCTTAATGTGGGCGAGTAAGTTGGCGTCAATGCCGAGTTCAGTTTGGGTGGTTGATACGTGAGCTGCATCTGGGGCTACCGAACCCTCGCTATCGTCGTCTTGATGGTCTAATAGTATATCATACAAGCAAGTGTCCGTCAGTCTTTAACAAGTCTACAGCTCAATAGTAGAGAGAAAAGTCCGACACTCGAATGTCCAATCGTATACGCGCTATTATAGACCATCGAATCCAAAGAAGATATATATATATATCCCCTTGAAAACAATAATAGAAATATCATAGACCACATAAAGTCATTCGTCGACTATTTCAAAATTCAATATATATGTACAGTATATATATATAGATATATATGTACAGTATATATATATAGATATATACTAGTATAGGCGTTAGCTACTAAAACCACCGTATCAAAATTATAATGTTCCCTTGAAACAAAAGATTTACATGAAATTGTTTCGCTATTCGTCGACTAATTGAAGTATATATATATATATACGAGTACAATGAAATATATATATATTTCATTGTACATATATATACGAGTACGTGCAATGATATATATATATATATATATGTATACCATGAACTATATATATATATATGAGTTACCTTCCATCGGAACAAAGTGAAGTTCCATTTGTGAATCTTGTCCTAAATTCGCCTGGATATTCTCCACGGGCACATGCTTGTCCAGGGTCAAGTCGTCAAATAAGATGGAGATAGACACCCTCCGCCCGCCAGCTCCAACCGCCGCCTTGTCGTCTGGTGCTTCGACTTTTTTGTCATCGTTCATGTCGTCAATGTGTAAAATATGCCCTGCAAAGTACCTACCAAATATATATATATATATCCACACATGTATGATGTTAATTACTCGTCGCTGTTGTGGCATTTTGCTAGCACATAATCGCCCAGACGCCAAATGGACGGAACTGCCGCGTCAGGTGCGAGGTTTGTATTGCTTTTAGGTTGGGCAAGGTCCGTCAACAAGGCGGTGGATGTCCCGTCAGTGCTTCGGACGTCGCCTCCTCCGTAGACGCTCTAAACAGTCGGAACCATCGTTAATATGTACAACTATTCGACTATTAAACCATAAATATTCATTTAATTCTTCAAAACATATAAAAATAAACAATATATATATTATTATATATTTATTGAATAAACATTTATGTAAACAATAAAAATATAATAAAGAAAAAGAACAATGTCCTATACACGGTGTAGTGGAACCAGTATAGGGGTATATATATACCCTATATAATACTAAGAGACATGCCTATATATTTGTACATAAATGTTATGGGGGGACTACTTTGACTTGCTATAGTCGATCGTCGCAGTTGTGTACTTTACACTGTACAAATGATGGTTCAATCTTGCATTGGGGATATCTACTTCAGTAGTAGTACTACAGTATTATAGAGGCATGCCTACTAGTATTATTGAGGCATATCTACAAGTATTATAGAGGCAAGTCTACTAGTCTTACACAGGCATGTCTACTAGTATTATATCTCGATTCAAGAAGAGCAAGACTCACTGGCAATCAACGTACACATGTACACATAAAACGTGATCTACACAACTACAACTCTAATATCCCGAAAGGTTTCAAACGCATACAGTAACACAACGTACCCAAGTGGAATCGTTGACGCCTGTTTGCGGCTGCTGGCTGCTGCGCTGGGACCGTTCGTGACCACTCGTGTCCCTGGACGACCGATCGCGACCGCTAGAGTCGGCTGACAAGCGTGGGAAGATCCCGTTGCTTTTCCCACTGGCTTGCTTGAGCAGCAACCGCCGCTCGGTGCCTCGCAATTGGGTCGCCCGAGCTAACGTGTTGTCTCGAAACAGAGGCGGGATTATGGTGGGAGTGGTGGTGGAAGGTCCCATCCTGCTGGTTTGTGCATCTGGTGCCAACGACTGTTCGGCCATGGAATACCCAGCCACCCACCTGACCGCCTTGTCTACTACGCCCGTGGCTATAAATACCAAGTCGACTTGAACTTGGATTGGATGGATTCTGAAACGGCCGCGTCTTTGATTGGTGGAATTTGAAACGGCGCCCCCAACTTGCAACACGGGAAAAGTCGCACAATGCAAGATATTCTTAGAGGACTAAGGTCGTTGTTGCATTGAAAAGGGTATATTGAAGACACCTTGCGACCTATTCTTGTTACAGTAAGTCGTAAAGTACTACTAAGTACTAGTTACGTAGTATTTGTACTTATGCTTCGATCGAAATCGCTTGATCATGAGGGGTATTGCCCATTTACCCAAAGTTTGGACTTTTGGCAGATTCACGAAATCAATCGATCCATTTTTCTTTGTAATTAACATACTAGTCCAGTAGTGTCACTCTAATTTCAGTCACACACTAATTCGATGTTGAATTGGTCGAAGAATGGATAATTTGATTGGCCACTTGATTCGTGCTCTGGGTTTTGATTGGTCGATTTTCGATTGTCTGCCGATTTGATGCTGCTCATATTCGATTGAGCACCCCACTCCAATATCGAATCCACTTGACAATATATAGTACCAATCTACATTTCGTTTCACCATACTACAGTATACTGTATCATAATGGTACAAGTCTAATTGCACTGGACCAAGAGTTCATATGTACGGTACTTACTGTACACTGAAGCTCAAGACGTACTGTACATAACGTTATACTACGTAGTAATTAGTTATCACATTACAGTACCTCTGTCTATGAAGGTCAAAGTACTGTAGTGGTGATTACTATACGTAGTACTACTGTACTACTTACAGTTAGTAGTATTAATACTTACTACGTAGTACTACTGTAGTATTAATATTAATAGTCACAAATCACAGCTTCCGTAGCGATGTGCCTTCCACAGTTGTGATTGGGTATTCATTTATCCGTCTGTCCAATCAGTACCCACCATATCCGGATTAGAAAGTCGCCACGAAAAATGCAGAATCCAATTACGATGCTTGTGAGACGCCGCCATACCGTGCGGGCGTTCCATGGCCTGGCTCGGCAGTGCATACGTACGATTCACGACTCATCGTCTTCCACCTCCTCCTCTCCGCATGTCATTGCGACCCAGCAACTCGGCCATCGGGAATATGCGTTCCACTCGCCTACAACGACACCCGGTCGCCGTCCCACCCTGGAACTCGTGCCGTCGTCCAAGCCGTCCTTGGTCGAGTCTATCCGCAACATCCCGCTCCTTCTCGAAGACCTGTTTCTCCCCCGCGACCACGCCACGTCCACCACTCCCGACTACCTCCCGTACGTCAAGTACCAGTTTATCGCGAGCGTGGCAGGCACGACATGCGGCGTGCTGTCCATGCAGTCGCTCCTCTTCGCCATCGGCCTCCAGAGCGGCGCCATCCCCATGGCCGCGGCGCTCAACTGGGTCATCAAGGACGGCCTCGGTCAGTTCGGCGGCGTCCTCTTTGCCAGCCTCGTGAACCATCGCTTCGATGCCGACCCCAAGGTACCCCCACCCCATCACTACCATTCTGCTAATATGCCTTTATATCTTGCTGGTTTCGATATATATATATATAATATGTGCGTGTATATCCAGCCATACTCGCAGTGGTCGTTTAAACTTTATTCAAACCAAAACGTATTTTATTCTAATATATTTATATATACGTTATTATCATACGTTGCCTCCCTCAACCCATATATATATATATATATAGGTATTTATTTCATCCTATCCCTCATATAAATTCGTTCCAGCCATGTACATCAAACACATATTATTTCTATATCTTTATATATCTAGTGCACAGAAATGGATATAAACATATATCCCTCTATATATATATATATATATAGAGGGATATATTTGTTTTTCTCGACTCGATTCTTTGCCTTCCGTTTTCTTTCACGCCATGCTTTGTTGTTGCTGCTCTCTTGTACCGTTTCCTATCCTATGTCCATATTCAACACGTTTTGTACTTTTATCTATATATAATATATTTATATCTATAATATATATATATATTTCCCATTTGTTGTAGCGATGGCGGATGGTCTCGGCATTTGCAATGGACGCAGCTACGTTATTAGAAATATTAACTCCGCTGTGGCCGGCCTACTTTTTGCCCCTAGCCGCCGCTGCCAACATGGCCAAAAATATTTCATGGCTAAGTTCAAGTGCCACGCGCGCGGGGTTCCACTACTCATTTGCGCAGAAGGAGAACTTGGCGGATATCACGGCCAAGGCCGGGTCTCAGTCTATTGCGTCCTCTATTGTGGGTACCGCCGTCGGCATCGCCATCTCCCCGTGGCTCGGGACGGATACGTTTGATGTGGCGGCGGCATTTGGGCTCTTGTCGGCCGTCCATCTATGCTCGATTTACAAATCCCTGGCGGTTGTGGCTCTTCCCACGTTGAACCAGCAACGACTGCACGCTGTCGCAGATGCATATTGGCAACATATTGACACCAACCATGCAATGTTCAAGACGTCCGGTACCCCCGAAACAAACGCGTTCAAGACGTCCGGTACCCCGCCGATCTTACGGCCAGACCAAGTGAAGGAATCGTTTGTGTTTCGAGTATGGGGGGGATACCCGAGTCGCTTTACGCAATCAAAAGTGTCGTTAAGTGCCCGATTGGACCAGCTTGGCGTAGTACCAGATGATAAGGCCATGTATATACTCCATGGGGATGACAACAAGCCAAATATACCGCCCAGTAGTAGGACCATTCACCTACTGCTCCATGTGGATGCTACCAATGTCCATGTACTCCAAGCGCATTTGCATCTTGTGCGGGTGCGTATGCGCATGGAACGGATGGACGGCGACGCGGCCGCCGCGATCGCGCAAAGCCGACTTGATATGCACCAAAAGAGGAACGAATTGAGTGTTCAAGATCATTTTGTACAGCTTATGCTTGCAAGCGACTGGCATTGTGACCATCTGCTCGTAGAAGAAACCGTGGCACGGTATCGCTTGTATCATCACAAATAGACGATATATATATAATATATATATATGTACGGTGCGTTGGTTGCAAACGTATACCACCATATGTCCCAACTCGGTCTTGACGATGTATATATATATGTATATATATCGTTATCGCAAACGTATTGTATACCAAATGTTTATATATATATATATATATATATATATCGTTATCGCAAACGTATTGTATACCAAATGTTTTGTATTGTCAGGAGGTATATATATATATATATATATACACCAGCCACCCAGATATTGCGTACAGTCAGTCCTACTGTAGTATAATAATAATAATAATCATAGTAGTAATAGTAGTAGTAGACCATTGTTGGATGATTGCAAACAACTCGGCACTACTACTCTGGAGTATATATATATATATAATTCGGAGCTGTCATTGGTTGATTAACTAGACGAAACGAATTTCATTGGCTAATCTTAGTAGTTAGTACTAGCTAGTGTTGTCCTATCCACTGAACTATATGAGGTTTACATTCGCAACATTGGTATCTGTTCCTGCTCCTATTTAGACTTAGTTGTATATCCGAGTATACATACATGTATTATCAAGTTTTTCCCAATGATGGGGGAACGAAGGACTCTGTGATTTGATTGGCTAGTACGTTCTTCGAGTGGCCAATCAGAACAAGCCGACGATTTTGCCCGTGACGCAGTCGACGTCGACGTCGTAAAAGCCAGGGCGCGTGGGCAGCCCCGGCACTGTCATAATGTCCCCGCAGAGCAAATAGAGGAATCCCGCGCCCACGGATGCCCGAATGTCGCGAATTGTCACAGTAAACCTAGTATATAGGTAAATCTATACTCAAATATATATATATATAGATAGATAGAACAAAGTAGTACGTAGTAGGATTCTCAACACATTTTGACAATTCCAAATATATATTATTGAAAACGCAACCACCCCGATAAACTCGCAAATACCAATATACACTACTATCGATATGCATTATATCTAAACAATACCAAAAATTAATGTATATATTATCTATAAATATATATTGAAATGGAACGAACTACCTCCACGAACTCACATATATACCAGTCGATATATGTATAAACATATATATATATTAAAATACGAAACTATCCCAACGAAACAACATGTAACTCAACGTATATATATATATTTCTTTTGACAACACCATTTCATATATATATATATATATCAAAATACCATACGTTGTCGGTTGAAAGTAAAACCCCACCACGAACGAACGGCATTTATATATATATATATCCATTATCTTAACCCCATGCAACTTCATTTAGTGGACAAACAACACTTTTGACATAGGATATCATTCAACTAGATATATATATATATATATATAT